GGTGCGATACCTGCTACACCAGGTGGGCGATACCGGCCAGGGGTCAGCCGGTAGCATCAGGACCGAGCTTCTTCGATGGGCCAGTCACTGTGCCTCCCCTCCGGTCCCCTCCCCCTATGAACATCGGCAGTCTCTGCTCAATGCCACTCGGGGGACCAACGGCATATCTCTAGGTGGCGGGCGCCAAGCTTGCCCAGGAAGGTACATGAGGCCAATGGGGATTGAACCCAAGACCTCCTGAATGCCACTTGCATGCCTTACCAACTGAGCTAGGCCGCTGGATAAAACCTTTAGCTCTACATCTCGAGGCTCCATTCAGTCATGTTGTTTAGTCTTTCGATTTTTCTTTTATTCTATAGAATAATCTCGCCTCAGCCCAAACCCCAACTCCTATAGAAAAAAAAAAAAAAAACCCAACTCCCCCTCTTGAGATTCTAGACTGTAAGCATACTGTGTCACTCCTTCCCCTCTTACAACTAGTGTAGACCAATACAGTCTCACGTATTCAAATTTTTTTTTTTTTTTAACAATTTGATGAATGTCGGTTCCTAACGGTTCCTAACGGCTTTTCGCTTCTTTGAAATCAAACAAACACAAAAAACATAAAATCAGTCAGACCGAAAAAAAAAACAAAAAAAAAACAGTCAGAAGCTCAAAACAGAGATGTCGGCGCTGGCATGGGCGACAGAGATGGCGGGGAGAGTAAATGTAATGTAGGGTAGAAGAAGGGGCCATTATGTGAAAAAAAAAACAAATGGAAAAGGAAAAAAAAAGAAAAAGAAAAGGCGCCAGCAAGGTCCCACTTGCACGGATTAAAAGATTCTAGCCGTTAAAATCTGCTATCTACGGTCAAAATCGGTTAATTCGTGTAAGTGGGACCTTCGGTAGCCATTTAGCGTGGTCCCACCAGCAAAGAGGATCGGATCGAATGCCTGAATCTGGACGTGTTTGTCGAGAGGTGCAGGAAATCCAGATTGAACTGCTTTTCTGCATCTCTGCATAAAACACGTCCACATTCGGGCATTCGATCCGATCCTCTTTGATAATGGGACCTCGGCCCCGGCAGACAGCGGCGGCGGCGTACTTTTTTCCCTTTTTTTTCCTTTTCTTTTCTTTTCTTTTCTGTCCTTTTTGTTTTTGGGCGGGGGGGGCGGAGAGCCGGCGCTGTCTTTTTTGTTGTTTTTTTAAATACGCCGGCGCTTTTGCCGCCGCGCCGTGCACATCAGCTGCTGGTTCCTTTTTTTTTTTTGTTTTAATTTTCTTTTTACGTCACACACAGCTGGTTCTCGTTCTCCCGGGGCGTGGTCCCAGTAGCAAAGAGGATCGGATCGAATGCCTGAATCTGGACGAGTTTATGGAGATGTGCAGGAAATTGAGATTGAACTGCTTTTCTGCAATTCTGCTGAAAACACATCCAGATTCACGAGCTCGATCCTATCCTTTTTGTTAGTGGGACCTCGGCCCTGTTCCCCGCACCGCATGCACAAATGACAAAAAGTATGGCGATGTATCTATCCATGCTGTACAGTAAGATTCGTTCTCATGTTGCCCGTTTGGGGAGAAGTGGAGCGAGGCTACCGTAGTGGGACTTCGCCCCCGCCGGTTACTTATATATCATGTCCATCTGTCCAGTAATATAGAATTAAATTAATATATTAATTATTATGATATATAATAATCTTGCAGTCTTTTTTTTTCTCCTTTTCGTTTTTGTTCATGAAGTTGTTATATATATATATCGTCACAAATATATATATATATATATACACACATATACAAGAAGCAGTGCGAAATCTGATTACGGCAATCAACGGCAGTGTGGAACGAAAGCATCCGTCTTTTGTTTTTCTTTTTTTTGTTTTGAAAGCATCCGTCTGTCGTGGCACTGCCAGCCAGGCGGCTATGGGGCCTCGGTTCACGAATCATCACATGCACAAAAGACAAAAAATATGGCGGTGTATCTAGCCATGGTGTAGCGGAAGATTCAGTCTCAGTTTGTCCATTTGGGGAGTAGAGGTCCAACTGGGCACGCGCGTAGGAGGGAGAGGGAAGGAGAAATAGGAGGGGGGAGAGCGGGGAGGGGGAGGCTAGAGGG